AATGGGAAAATTTGGTTATTTGCATCCTTTGAAACTGAAATCATTAAAACACCACGTTATTTTGACTTCAAAAAAGTTGCATCAACAGCAATTACTAGTCTACAATGATTCCAACCAGCTATTGATGATCCTATGCATAAAAAATATAAAGAAACCTGAAAATACAATATAAAACAAGGTTAAAATACCTGAAGTTTAGGACAGTCAGTCCTTAACTTACATTTCCAAGTTATAAAGTTAAGGACATGCTGTCCTTAACTTTGATTTCAAAGTTCAAAACTTAGGACAGCCAGTCCTCAACTTCTGGTTACAACTCAAAAGTTAACAAGGTTAAAGACAGCATGTCCTAAATTGTTTACCTGTTGTTGTCGTCTATCTTTATGTTAGTATAAGTTCCCGGGTTTATACTTGTCATCATATACAAGTATGAAGACAAAAATTCATAATTCTCTTCGGTACTTCCTCTTATTAAAGCGGAAGCATGTTGAATAGCACGCCACGCCTTGTGATATCCAATGTCTAGTCCATGCAATTTTTGCATCTCTACCATGACAAAAGCTGGTGTAACTTCAAATCTTGGGTCCCGAAGATTGTCGATAATGTAACCACTAATCAACTTTGAAGTAGCATGCCTTTGATCTGCTTTCATAGTGTTAATAGAGCAGTCATGCTTTTTCTCAATCTTTACTATCTTGAACAGTGTTGAATCTTTAATTCTGAAAGCACGCACACACCAACAACACCTATCATCATTGCATGTCAACGAATATCTTGTTGAGCTTGATCTAACAACCTTGAATTCAAAATGTCCTTTGATTGCTATATTGGAAAAACAGTTAATTATACTCTTCTTCTTGTCAAATACTGATCCGACTTTTATTTCATCCAGCGAAGCATTTTCTCTTAATATCGTAGTTGGGGATTCTTTTTGTTTCAAATTTGATCTTCATCTAGTTATTTGAGTACAGGTTTTTTCAGCAACTTCTTCGATTACCGGTGCACTCTCTAAGACTTGAATACCCAAAGCTTGTTCGTTGTCAATCTCTATAATGCTTTGTCCTTCTACTTGAATAGAATCAAATGTTTGAAGCACCTCTTCATTTAATGGCTGAGCTTCAACCATATCTATTTTCATTATCTGTTGGCATTTGTCTTGATTGTCATGTTGAGTTTCTGTGTTGACATGTTCATTGCTTGTAGATGCAAAAACTCTTTCCGAAATATCAACTATGAAATGACAGCCCTTGAAGAGTGAATGAGTTTTTAGCAACTCTATACATGTGTGAAGATCTAAATCTTTGGATACAAGCATTCCTTTGCTTGTTCCAAGGTTGATATCAAACCATATCACTGCTTCAAACTTTTCTCTATCCAATTCAATAAGCTCAAAGATCTGTTTAATGAAATCTTCAAACCGAATTGACTCAGGTACTAGAAAAAGCTTTGTTTGATGATCAAGATATTTATAGTCTTCAGTCCATCTACCATTAAAAGCAAGTATAATGCATATTGTTTCCATCCTGCAAGTCAAGAGAATGGGAAACTGAGGACATACGTTATAAAGCAATCCTTGTATAATTAAGAACAGGTATACTGTAAGTGCAAGACCAAGGTAAGGACTAAGTGTCCTTAACATTTTAACTTGGATTTAAAAGTTAAGGACTGCCTGTCCTTAACTTTTGAACCAGAAATTAAAACTTAAGGAATGTCTGTCCTTAACATTTGAACATGGAATTAAAAGTTAAGGACTGCCTGTCCTTAACATTTGAACTTGGAATTAAAACTTAAAAACTGCCTGTCCTTAACATTTGAACATGGAATTAAAAGTTAAGGACTGCCAGTCCTTAACATTTGAACTTGGAATTAAAAGTTAAGGACTACATGTCCTTAACTTTTGAACCAGATATTAAAACGTAAGGACTGTCAGTCCTTAACATTTGAACATGGAATTAAAACTTAAGGACTGCCAGTCCTTAACATTTGAACTTGGAATTAAAACTTTAGGACTGCCTGTCCTTAACATTTGAACATGGAATTAAAAGTTAAGGACTGCCAGTCCTTAACATTTGAACATGGAATTAAAAGTTAAGGACTGTCTGTCCTAAACTTTTTAACCTGCAAGTCAAAACTTAAGGACTCATGTCCTTAACTTTTCAATCTGTAATTCAAACTTAAGGACTTCCTGTCCTTAACTTTTTCAATTTGAAACTCAAACTTCAGGACTTAGTATGCAGAAGAACAGCAACAAAGTGAAGGACATTGTGTCCTTAAGTTTTTCAATTCAATTTGCAAAATGAGGACAGTAGAATCAAAGTTAAGGACATTGTATCCTTAATTTTTGAATTCAATTTCCAAAATGATGACACTATGTCCTTAATATTATGTGCTCAACTTTTATAGAATTATCATAGGAGGCGATGTCCTTAACTTTATCAATCCAGAAATTCAAAAAAAAAATCAAATTCTTATCTACTATATAATCAAATCAATACAAATCGGAAAAAGTATAACTATATCGAAATAAAAATCGATAGAAACACATGAAAGTATAACTTACTGTTTTTCTATGTCGATTTTTTGGATGAAAATGTTGAACTTTTGAAATTGGAAGAGAATTGCGATCACAGTGTCGATCGTCGCTTCTGCTGCTGTTGCTGCTGCTTCTGGTTCTGTGGGATTAAAAGCGTAGGTATAACTTATACCAGAAGGGTAATTTCGTCCAGTCAGGTATAAGTTTATTAAAGCAGTGGCTAAAGCCTAAATACATTGAAAACACTGGCTTTAAAATAAAAGCAGCTACTTTTAGTGGCTATTTGTGCACTTCGCCCTCTTTTTGTAGGTGATGGGGCATAGCGATCTTTTTGTAGGTGATGGGGCATAGCGTACTCCAGTTTTCCTTGGCAATAGTTTCGTTTTTGATATCTGTCTTAATGAGTAGAGAGGTAGCCGAATTAGGATATATATATATAAGAATTATTAAATTTAAACTAGATCTGGTAAATTATGTATATGTATTAAAAATTATTAGATGTGTATAAGAATTAAATTTAGAATCTAGTTACTAGAATTTAAAGTCGTATCTTTGAATCCAGAACTCAGAAATTTCTGACTCTACTTCTGTTTGAAATGTGAAATGACCTCTACTCGAATGACCTTTTCTCTTTTCTTAAAGACGAGAAAGATTGCGGCGTTTGATTTGATTGGTAGAGCGACGAATGTTATTTTAGAACTGTACTGGAGTTCTAATATATATGGATGTGCAACACTTTTGATTTTATCAATAGGTCCTATCATGATAAGATTTTACCCATAGGTTCTATTGTTATAGTGGAAGCTACCAAAGTTATATCGCCCCTAGAAAGAGCCATGCAATTAAGTCATATTGAGTGAAGTTTTCTGAAAATTTTACAATTATGTTAAGACTTTGGTATTCGAAACTTGACTGATTCATTAAACCATATAGGAGTAATTCACAAGTATTGTGTCATATTAATCGCGAAAATTGTATAGGTCGAAATCTGTCTCAGTACTTGGGGCTAAGTAACATCGAGAAAAGAGTCAGCTGAGGTCGACCAGAAAATAGTGAGGCTCATGATCGAGATGCTAAGATGGTCGAGGTCGAGCAACACAGAAAGAGCAGTAACGGCTAGCTTATTAGAATAGGATATTAAAGAGAATATTCCATTGAATATTCTTTGCACTTATACTATCAGGATTTGTAGGGGGTATGTCCCATACAAATAGGAAAAAAGAGAATGACCAAAGGCATGTGATATTCATTGTAATAAGAGCAGACTTTACAAAAAAATTCTCTCACTATTGCGAAGATACAAAGGTTACCTTTTTATCAAGATCCTTGCTTATGTTATTCAACACTTTTCCATCAGATCTAAGGATATTTCGAATGTTCTAAGATCTATCTTTCACTCATTATTATGAGGAGGAATAATCACTCAGTTCATTATTTATTGGGTGAACCCCTTCTCCTATTTACATAAATGTCATTTATTGCGATTTATTGCTAGTTATATCTCCATTATTGCTCATACTTTTTGGAATATTTAATAAATGTTGTTGCCAACTCCACACCAGATCTCTCTAACGTGAGCTGTCTATTAGAAATCCTTATCTAGGAATATTATCATTAACTAGGTTTAATCCTTCAATAAACAAGTATAATCATTTTAACAAAAAGTTAATACTTTTTTGGTCAAACAGAAACTAACTCAGATAAACTAGAAGGGGACGATTGGAGCACTTGATCACAGCATGAAATTCGGTATGAGATAATATAATGCTTGATTGATCGTACAAGAAATAATAATTGATCATCACCTCATTATAATGCAACTTTTGGTTGGTGAAATTAAAATATTTATACTATTACTCAAGAATTCATGTCATTTTATGAGAGATCGATATGTAGAACAAAAACACTGTATTAACAGCAATGGATTTATCTATTTAAAGACAAAAATTCCCTTTCGAAGTAAAGATTATTCACTTACAACTGTCTCTTTTAATATTAATTACTCCTCATATAACAATCAATATCACATACATAATCATACATATAATGAACCAAATGAACTCCCGAACGTTGTAATAGGGTTCGAACTATGTATGCCCTTTTTTCTCAATCTTTTCAGATTCGGCATATTGCAAATTCTCGACCATGAAAATAAGCCAAGTACTCACCCAACTTCGACGCCAATACTCAAAATAGTATAAACATTATGACAGAGACAAAAAAAGAATACTCTCGTCTAGTACAAGGAAAGCGCTTATTCGATTATGTCACCTCAGTTACCCCATGTATACCAAAACTCTTCGGGCATTCGTGGGTAAAATTCCTTTGTAGAGTCCCGCTTTATGCAACGACACTTAACTTACCGTTTTCGCTGTACCCCTTCACATCCCCATAGCCATCGTCATCAACAGGTGAAGTTACAGAGATACTAATCAGAAATCACAAAAATATGTATGGGATGGAAGTAGAATATAGAAGAAAAAAAATGGATGGCTAATTAAAGCATCTGACACAAATAAGCAAAAGCTAGAACTAGTACGTCTGTTCCTTTAAAATATCAAAACCATGCACAGACAGTAATAACTCAATCTACGAAAGTTGCATTAATAGAGCCCAAAATTGAGAATAATACAATGACCAGCACGACCGGGCATGCAGTAAAGCAAGGGACTACAAAGACTTAAGCTGCCTATAAAGCTCACACCCCTGTTTTGCGCAATTCAGCAGCACCATGGGCAAAGTGGCACCTTTCTCCAAAAGTGCAAGAACCTTTAGCAAAATTCTCACACAGCTTAGTCTTGTAGTTGCTCATTTGAGGTGGAGGTCCACCCTGTACTGCCGGTGCTCTTCCCGGGCCACCAACTGATCCAAGACTGCTGATCAACTCTCTTACCATGGCACTAGCCTGCGAAATTTGTTCAAATGTGCCCTCCAGCTCAATGTTCCTGAGATTTTTATCTGTTTCATGCTCACGGATAGCCAGCTTGGCTCCTGTCTGACGACAGATCTGCTTAGAGTTCACCCCGCCCTTCCCAATGATAGCTCCAGCAAGGGAAGCATCGACACTGATCTTTGCAGTGGCTGAGGTACCAAAGCTAGCAGCAGGTCCTGAAATAGGAGGCTCCATTCGCCCACCAAAACGACCAGGAATAGGCCCACCCCCCATGGCACGTGGATCTTCTTGTGATGGCACGATAGGCTTGCCAATTTCCCAGTCCCCATGAGCAAAATGGCATTTATCCCCAAACTTGCATCCTTCAGCTGAGTTGAACTTGTTGCAAAGTTTGGTTTTCACAGCAGGAGTATTCCCATTGGGCATGGGTGGTGCTGCTGCATTTCTTGATGCTGGAGACGGTGCCATATTCATCATCTGGGCCACAGCATTATAGCCACCAGGAACATAATGAAGAAAGTGGCAGCTCTCACCAAAAGGGCAGCCAGCAGTGCTGCATAAAAACAAGATAAACTTCAAAATCAGACTAAAAGCAGATTTCGCATATCATATAGCAGCATGGATGATGCAGACAGTAGACACAAGCAGATAATCACACTTACAACACAACTGGACTAGAATATTAGCACAAGTGCACTCTAGACAGAACGCAAAATATCCTATTATACTAACCAAGCAATAGCACTCTTCCTGGACCATTAAGTGAAGTTATCAGGTTCGCCGGTCATGATGTGAGATTGATTTAATCATGTAATCCAACTGCATGAAGCAAGGTCGAGAGAGGCCAGAGTTCTATAATCTAACTACCTAGAAGACAATGAGCATGTAAGATAACTGCATAAAGCAGGTTTGGAGAGTCAATCCAACTTCCCAGAAGTCAATCACCACCATCTTTCCCCCCCCCCCCAAAAAAAAAAAACCTCCAAAGCAGATAAACAAAGAAAACTATCCATTTGGAACAAAGCAAAACAGCACTTCAAGAGCAAAAAATTGATTTTCTTGTAAAAATAAGAATTAAAATAAAAATAAAAGGAAAAAAATGTATTAACTCCAATATAGTCTACTTTCTTTAGCACCCACCACTCCACAATTCTAGAAAAGAAGACAGTTTAGCACCAACATAAAATTGTTAAAAACACCTCAAAGAAAAGAGAGAAAAAAATCATTTTAAAAATCTCTTCCTCCGCAAAAAATCTCGAGCTTCTGGAAACAATAAAACACACACAAAGAGAAAAAGCATAGCAGCCTGGCTGGCTTAATCACTTAAATGTGTTTCAAAAATATCTAATGTACGAACTCAATCGCACATTAAACTTCTAATGGGAAAAACTACTACGCCATCTCTTGTGCAAATCAATATCTATAACCCAACTAGTAGGACACCACTTGCATCTGCTCTCAGTGTACTTTTGAAAAAAAAAAATATACAAGAGCATATATACTGCCATGTTCTTCCAAGTGTCACAAGCGACTCAGAAAATCTCAATGCAGAACCCGGTCAATATAATCAAAAGATTTAACAAAGATAGATAAATAGGATGCACAAAAAATCAAGATAAACAGCACTGGAGCTTACAGATGTCGCTGAGTATCTTAATCTCAATATTTTTAACAGCAATTCACCACTTAAACCAACTTACAACAGTTCTCAAAGAGCCAAAAGAGTTCCAAAAAAATGGGCCATTCAGACCATTAAACGGTAGCTAATATCCACTGTAGATTACAAGAATTAAACTAGAGTTAAAGAGAAGCTAGTATACCTCGGTAAATAACAGAAAGAATCACGTACCTGCTATTCTAAATACATTACAAGAAGGCTAATAACATTATAACAATTAAGATAATTATGGGGCAAACAATTACATGATTGTTGGGATACAACAAACCATAAAAGATTGTTATTGAGAAAATATAGAAGTTTGTCATTGAGAAACCATATTGTTTCTCACTCCATCTCCACTATATCTGGGAATGCTATCTCTGGAAAATTTGTTAACAATAGCTTGTATGTGAGAAACCAGGGACATTATAATTCCTCCAAATGCGTAATAGCTGACAATAATTATCTCAGCAAAATTGTTCATCATTATGCTTTTAGAGCATTTGGGAATCTCACGAGCATAAATCTATTTTTTGGCGCTTATGACAAGAGAAGAATTATTAGAAATTATGAATTGTTGCACTTGAGATCAATTAAATTCCAAAACAAATTAAAGTTCAAACTTCAATATTAGATTAGATAGGTAAAGATTTGAACCTGAAAAACTTCGTGCACGGCTTCGATTTGCTTCCTATACCACTTGATAACGAGTCCATTTCTGTTGCACCAAATTAATTGCATTTTTTACCAGTTAGAAATTAGTTAGTTGTTTAAGAACTGATGGTAGATTAAAATTAGACAGACATCATAATTTTTATTACCAGCATAACAGGACTTGCCTTATGCTATAAGGTGATAACTCTTCAAGATACCCAACTTTTTCATCATACAAAGCAGATGTAACTATATTAAATTTCAATTCAGATGTTCTTAAGGTTTTTTCTATGTATACAATAAAAACTATTGGTTATTCTCAATTTCATCCTTTAGGGTAAGATAAAAATAAAATTTCCAAAATGTAGTCTCTACTACCCCTTTTAAAATACTCTGCATCCCAAATTATAAATTTATATTACACTGTTTCTGTTTTGGGATGTACAAAATTATTCCAACGCATTTCTAATTTTTTATAAGTAGAAATCTATTTGGGGCCAACTGTAGCCTTTGAAACTCAGGAATAAAATGGGCCCGCCCCTCTACCCTTCTCCACTTAACTAAGACTTGGTTCTCATGGTGCAAGGCTCGAAAGTCACAAGTCTCAACACATTCTTAATATTATTTCATATATCTGCAGCACTGTTCAAGAATTCAAATTCATTTAACAATTTGAATATTTCAATTGCTTTTTTTTTCAACTACCACTCTAGTAGGTTCTTCCACTACCACTATTAGATTAAACAAATCAAATTAATATCCCAAACAACGTTCCAGCCAAATGCTGTCCAACAATCAAAATGCTTCTACAACCACTAGAGAATATAACAAAAAGGTTAGTCAAACAGAGCAAAACAAGCAAGCAACTTAAAAGCAAAAAGTGGATCTAAGAAGTTCTGTAAAACAAAAGAAACAAAAACACAAACCTGACTTAGCCTTCTTGAAACCACCATTGGCATTAAAACCACCTTCGTTTCTGTTTCTCTTCCGAAGGTCCATGTCTACTAACTCTCAGATCCAAACAGACGAATAAAAATTACAACTAAAATAATGATAAAGTAGAACAAAAATAGAAGCTTAAACGAAGAAAGATTTTGGAAGAAAAAACCCTAACCCTAGAACTAGGGTTTTTCTCGAAGGGGGAAGAAGAAGAAGAAGAAGGGTGTGGCGGTTGAAGAGAGAAGCAGAAAGCGTGATGAGTAAGAGATGAGATAATAAATAGAACAAACAGTACCACTAAATAATATTATTATTAGTAGTGGTAATAATAAATAGTGGAATCATATAATTTGTAATTTTGGATTTGGAAATTGGGGTTTAAATTTGGTTAAGAGTGTGAGTTTGGAATCCGGCCGCGAGTTCCTCGAAATTTGGATTTGGATGAGAAAAATCAGGGGAAGTCACGTGCTCTCTGTGATGTTAGCTGAGGGATCTAGTAAAAGTCACGTGCACGAGTACACCTGGTTCTATTTGGGCTGTAGTTGCTTTTGGGCTGAATTGCCAATGATAGCCCACTAGTTAACCCACTTCGTAGTCCTACAATTTGGAGTGATTTTTCGAAGGAAATTTTACCTTCTATAGCAAAGGTATACACCATATTTATTATAGGAAATTGGCAGAATAGTCTAGGAGACACTTGTACTTGTTCTGGTTTATTATCCCGGTGCCTACACTCCATAAAGTTTCATCCAGACACTTCAACTTAATCAAAACAAGACTTTTAAACACCTCCGGAATCGTGTGATGCTCACTTGCTTGACGTTGATGACAAATCAGCATCCACATCAGATTCTATACCAAAATAATATTATTTAACAAAATTTTAATTTCATAAACAAAAATTAAAATAAAAAAACAAAAAACTAAAATTAAAATTAAAGAAAACTCATCCTCCCTTCTTCAAACCCACCCACTCAACCTTCTTAAAACAATAACCCACCTGCCATGGCTCCTCCACCATGAGTACCACTACTTCCTTCACTCTTCGTTTAAAGAAAGTTATCTAGCCATGAAAAATACAAGAGCAGAGAATTAAGTCTTTTGAATTTTGACTTATTCCTATACCCCAATTTGGAAGGGCTGTGAAAAAATTTAAAAGCTAAAACTACCGGAAGAAATGGATGAATCATAGAGAAGGGGAAGATGACATGATGGAAGAAGAAATACATACCAAGGAGAAAATCTAATGAAAGAAGGGATTGAAGAAAGATGAAGAAAAAGGGGAAGGTAAAAACGAAGACGAAAGGGGGGGTGGGAGGCAGAACGGAGGGCTGAAGAAGAAGGAGGGGGGGCGGAACGAAGGGCTGAAGAAGAAGAGGAGGGGGGCAGAACGAAGGGGGATGGATGCGCGGGGGGGGAGAACGAAAGGGAATCGCTGGTAGTATTTTATTTATTTATTTATTTATTTTTATTTTTTTAATAAAGAAAAATCATCAGCTCACGCACCTAATGTGCGTGTAAATCACTCATTTTGTCCACCTTAGCCATATCAATGCCACATAAGCTCGGTCAATGGTCAGAAGGGTTTAAAAGTCTTGTTCTGATGAAGTTGAAGTGTCTGGGTGAAACTTTATGGAGTGTAGGGACCGGGATGACAAACCGGAATAAGTACAAGTGTCTCCCGGGCTATTCTGCCTAGGAAATTTTACCTTCTATAGCAAAGGTCTATACCCTATTATTATAAATCAAAACCCTTTTAAAATATTATTTTCTATAGCTTTTTTTTATATAGCAAAATAGGTATTTATAATATACACTACCATTAATTAAGGCATTAAATACGATATGTACCATTTTTCTCTCTCATTCTTTTAGTTATTCTCTCCCAGCAAAATATTTCTTCTTTCTCCCTCCACGATCTCTCTCTCACAGCAAGATTGTATTCGCAATTTTTGAAGCACGATTCTCTTTTTCACTTTCTATGTTTTTGTTCCAAAAATTCATGGTAAGTGTTAAAGTTTTTGGGTTTTTGGTCGGTTCAAGATTCTTCTTTTTCTCTTCACTTTTTTTTTAAACCTTCACCACTGTTAGATTTTCAACAGAAAATTTTAAATTTCCTCTTCAATGGCCGATTCAACAATTTTGAAACAAGAGGGTCACTACGACTTTCTTTTACGCCGAATATTGCAATGGATTTCTCTATACGGATACTCCAATATTTTTACACCGGAGAAGATTCAAGGGCTAGGGTTTTTGTTCGCCTCCATTTTTTGTTTTAATACAATATATACAATATTTTGCTTGGCCGGAAAACGCCATCTTCGGCGAACTTTCTTCCCATCTTTGCTATTTAGTCACATACAATGATAAAAATACATTTTATTATGTACAAATTCACTCAAATACATTTTACTTTTGCATAAATATATCTTTTTTGCTTGTATTTATGTATTTTAAAGGTTTGTATTTTTTCAATACAGTTGAATACATCTGTATTCATGCATAAATACAGGATATAAACATTGAAATACACTGAATACAAACACTAAAATAGAACAAAATATAAACAATGAATACATTTAATTCTAAAATATAGTGAAATACAGTAAAATACACTGAATACAAATAAAAATACATACAACTAATAAAATATACTGAATACAACAGTAATAACATGTATTAGAAATAACTAAAATACTGTGAATACAAATACATTTGAATACACTATAGAGAAAATAGCGAATATAACAAATACGAACAATGAATCTAATGAATACAACAGTAAAAAATAAATAAATTAAAATACACTAAATACAAAAGTTATATACAACTGAAAAATCATTCTAATTAATTGGTTGATAATGAGGCATGTTAGAATTTATTTTGTTGAGTTATATTAGGAGTGTATCCTGCTAGTTGATATTATTTTCATTATTGGACAACTGAACATACCTATTTTTAAGGTGATTGTTGTTATTGTATTCATGTATACATGGCGCGAATACAGCGAATACACTACCGTAACAACTTTATAGTAGCTATAGGAAGTAATTATGTATATGGTAGTTATAGGAAGTTAATAGCCACTAAACAATAGTGGTTTCTGAAAATTCCACTTTATTATGAACTAAAATTATTTTAAAATATTATTTTCTACATCTATTTTTATATTTTATAGCAAAATAGGTATTTATGGTATATACTACCATTGAGGCGTGAAATACGCTATTTATATTTTTTTTTTCTCTTTCTTTCAATTAACACACTATTCTCTCTCAAAATTTCAACAAAAATTTTCCTCTCTCTTCCTTCTCTCTCTTCAAGAATGGGCAAAGAAAAAAAATCGGAAACAGAGTACAAAAATGAGAGAAAGAGAGAGAATAAAAAGGGATAGATAGTAGGGAAAGAGAAGGACAGCCTTGGATAAAGTTTTCAGCAAAATTTGAGAAAATTCCTAGAGTTCTCAGATACCTTTTTTTTTCCTTTTTGATTTCCCTTCTTGAAAAAAAAAACAATCCAAAAAAAGAGAGTATATCTATTTTCGGTTCTAAATCCAGTTTCCAACTTTCGATTCACATTTTTTATGACGGAGAAGTTTTGAGGGTCGGGGTTTTTATTCGTCTCCGTTTTTAGTTTTAATATAATATATACAGTATTTTGCTTGGCCGAAAAATGCCATCTCCGGCGAACTTCCTTCTCTTATTTGTTATTAGTCACATACAATGATACAAATATATTGTATTATGTAAAAATTTACTCAAATACAATTATTATGTTTTTAAATACATTATTTTTTTTTTTGCATGTATTTATGTATTTTGAATATTTGTATTCTTTTAATATAGTACAGGATATAAACATTTGAATACATTGAATACAAACACTGAAATATAACAGAATATAAACAGTGAATATATTTAATTTTAAAATACAGTAAAATACACTGAATACAAATAGAAATACGATGAATACAAAAAATGAAATATACTAAATAAAGTAGTAATAACATGTATCAGGAATAACTAAAATACTGTTACAAATACATTTGAATAAAACTGAATACAAAAGGCAAAATGGACTCATGGCCACTTAAAGTTGTGTCAGTTTGCCAACCCGGTAGACAAACTTATATATTTCCTATTTTAACACCTCAACTTGATGAACTGAATGCAAATAAACACTTCCGATTGAGCGTGTTGTTCACTCGCTATGACATGAATGTGTCACAACCCAAGTTCTCTCTCGGTGAACCGCCGTGACGGCACCTAGTCTTTACAACTAGGTAAGCCTAGCATTTTGCGAAAATGAAACGAAAACATGAAAACTAATAATTTAACAGGTAAATTTAATTAAGAAGTTTAGAAGCCGCTCGGCATATACAATAAACACTCTCGAACTGAACATAAATGCTCCAAAAACCCGGAATATCATGAGTCACAAGCTACAGAAGTAAATAGTGCTTCTAAACTCCAGATATACCTCGAAGTCTCTAAGATCGCCTCGCCTCACTGGAAATATGGCCGGGAAGAGGTACCTGGATCTGCGCACGAAAAACATGTGCAGGAAAGGGCATAAGTACACCACAGCGATACCCAGTAAGTGCCAAGCCTAACCTCGGTCGAGTAGCGACGAGATCAGGTCAAGGCCCTACTGGTATATATGTATAATAAGATAAAACAGTATGAAATATCGCAGTAAAGATAAATACTAACAGTCAACGAGAATGAAATCATAAAAAAAAAACAACTCAATACATAGAGATAGCAACAGTGAATCTCACGGGATACCGTCCGTAGTCCCAAACGTAAATGTACAGGGGATCCCCGGGATACCGTCCCGTAGTCCCAAACGTAAATGTGCAGGGGGATCTCCCAAAATACCGTTCGGTAGTCCCAAAGTAAATATCCAGTACAGGGAGATCTCCCTGGATACCGTCCCGTAGTCCCAAACATAAACGTGCAGGGGAATCTCCCGAAATACCGTTCCGTAGTCCCAAAGTAAATACACAACTCATTCAACATTAACAACAGTTTCAGCAAGGAAATCTACAGTTTTGATTAAGTTCGTACCAAAGAAGACAGGTAAGTCTTACACTAAACATGCTGCACAGAGTCTAGGTAGGCAGTTAAGGCACATAAGCATATTTTCCTAAGCTAAACAGGATAGCTACATATACTAGTATTGCTCAATTAAAGGAAAACATAGATATTTACTTAATGAAAGCGGTGTTTTTCAATAATAGCCCATGTACGCACTTGTCACCTCACGTACACGACATTCATATATCAAACAATACCAAATCCTAAGG